GACAGATTGAAGACACATTTGGAAAGTTCGAAGACTGATGAATGTAAGCAGATGGCAGGAGGCTGGCAGGCGTCTGGCTCTAAAGACGGAGTGAATAGTAGGATCGTTTTATAAAGTAGGGAACATGGGAAGAAGATAGATATGCTTTGTAGTGAACAGAGAAGAAAAATAGTCCCAACCAGCAAACAGAGCAGAACTAAAATGGACTCATGCAACAATCAGTCAGCTTAGCACGTGAATGAGGTAAGCTATGTCCTACAGCTTGTGCTGTTTCTGACACAAAAACTACCAGCCACCTCTCTGCTGCCCCCAGGGCCTGCAAATGCTTCTACTCAAGACAAGAACAAATGCTAGTTTATTCTACAAACACCATCGATTTTTATTCTACAAACAATTATTGACTTCCCACACTGTGCTAGGTACTGCTCTAGACACTGAGAATAGAGCAGAAAACTAAACAGCTGAAATCCATGACTCCACGTGACTTATAATTTAGTGGGGAGAAGCAGACCTTAAACACAGTAATGGAGCAAATTATATAGAGTGTAGAAAATGAGGCTGGGCATGGTGGCTCACATATGTAATCCTAGCACTTTGGGAGGCCGACGTGGGAGGATCACTTGATTTCAAGATCAGTCTGGGCCATAGAGTGAGACCTCTTCTCTTAAAAAATAAAAAATATATATATATATATATGTATATATTAAGAATTTGCTGGGAAGAGTACCCGCCAACTAGCAGGACCGAGCAGGAACCCGCATCCAGGAACAAAGCTCTTTGCTCCTCCCTCAGAATGAATGGAGACCAGAAATCAGATGTTTATGTCCAAGAAAAGCAGGATTTCGTTCAGCACGTCTCCCAGATCATTAGGGTGCTGACTGAGGATAAGATGGGGCACCCAGAGACAGGAGATGCTATTGCCCGGCTCAAGGAGGTCCTGGAGTACAACGCCATTGGAGGCAAGTATCACCGGGGTTTGACGGTGCTAGTAGCATTCCGGGGGCTGGTGGAGCCAAGGAAACAGGATGCTGATAGTCTCCAGCGGGCCCTGACTGTGGGCTGGTGCGTGGAACTGCTGCAAGCTTTCTTCCTGGTGACAGATGACATCATGGATTCATCCCTCACCCGCCAGGGACAGCTCTGCTGGTATCAGAAGCCAGGCGTGGGCTTGGATGCCATCAATGATGCTGTCCTTCTGGAAGCATGTATCTACTGCCTGCTGAAGCTCTACTGCCGGGAGCAGCCCTATTACCTGAACCTGATCAAGCTCTTCCTGCAGAGTTCCTATCAGACTGAGATTGGGCAGGCCCTGGACGTCATCACAGCCCCCCAGGGCAATGTGGATCTTGGCAGATTCACTGAAAAGAGGTACAAATCTATTGTCAAGTACAAGATGGCTTTCTACTCCTTCTACCTTCCTGTAGCTGCAGCCACGTACATGGCAGGAATTGATGGCGAGAAGGAGCATGCCAATGCCAAGAAGATCCTGCTGGAGATGGGAGAGTTCTTTCAGATTCAGGATGATTACCTTGACCTCTTTGGGGACTCCAGTGTGACTGGCAAAGTTGGCACTGACATCCAGGACAACAAATGCAGCTGGCTGATGGTCCAGTGTCTGCAACGGTCCACTCCGAAACAGTACCAGATCCTGAAGGAAAATTACGGGCAGAAGGAGGCTGAGAAGGTGGCCCGAGTGAAGGCATCATATGAGGAGCTGGATCTGCCGGCCATGATCTCGCAGTATGAGGAAGACAGTTACAGCCACATTATGGGTCTCATTGAACAGTACACAGTGCCCCTGCCCCCAGCTATCTTTCTGGGGCTTGCGCACAAAATCTACAAGCGGAAAAAGTGACCTAGAGACTGCAAGGGCAGATAGGAGGCTCTCAATAAATAAATTATTGTATAAAAATTAAAAAAAAAGAATTTGCTGGGCTTGGTGGCATGCACCTCTAGTCCCAGCTTTTCAGGAGGCTGAGCCAGGAGGAACCCAGAAGTTCAAAGCTGCAGTGAACCATGATTGTGACACTGCATGAACTCCAGCCTGAGCATAGAGTGAGACCCTGTGAAAGAAGAAGAAAGAAAGAAAGAAAGAAAGA